AACGACCCGCCCTCAATCCATGAAACTGTTGCACATGTTTGAAACGAGTGTGCGCGGCGCTGAGGCGAGAACCACATTTTGAAAACGACCCGCCATCAATCCATGAAACTGTTGCACATGTTTAAAACGAGTGTGCGCGGCGCTGAGGCGAGAACCACATTTTGAAAACGACCCGCCCTCAATCCGTGAAACTGCTGCAAATGGCAAACGTCTAAAACGAGTGTGCGCGGCGCTAAGGCGAGAGCCACGTTTTGAAAACGACCCGTCCTCAAGGAGGAGGGGAAGGAGGAGGAGGAGGAGGAGCAGGAGCGGGAGGAGGAGGAGGAAACGCACAGCACGGGCCGGAGCGAGGAGCACGCCCACAACAGGCAGGGCCGTGACGACAAGCGGGGGGGGCCACAGCAGCGCCGAAGGGCAGCAGGCCCACCAGGGCCCGCCGAGCTCGAGGACGAGCGCTTGAGGAGGAAGCGCTGGAGTCCTCCTCCTCCTCATCCTCCTCCTCCTCCTCCTTCCCCTCCCTCTCTCCTGGCATCCCTCCCTCACCGCTCCTTTTTCCCTCCTGCTTCTCCTCCTCGTCCTCTTCTTCCTCCTCCTCCTCCTCCTCTTCCTCCTTCTCCTCCTCCTCCTCCTCCTCCTCCTACTTCCCCTTCCCCAGACGTTAGTGGGTCCTTGCGAGGGGGGGCCTGGGAGGACCTTGTCGGACGGCTGGGGCTAGGACGAGGATATTTCCGTTCCAGAGGGTTCCGGACGCTCTCAGGGTGTTCCGGAACGTTCTGAGGAGGCCGCGGCGCCCGAGACATCCTCCAGAGCCGCCAGATCTCAGAGATTCTCGATTTGTCCTCACCCGATGTTATCCTCGTTCTGGCTTCGTCTGATGGAGCGGAGCAGCCCCGGCTTCGATCGCCTCAGCCCGCGCAGGCACGAGCCCGCCACGCGTAAGAGTGACCCTTCGCCGACTCGTATGTGGGCCCCTGCGCACAGTCCCCGGCGGCCCTGTGAAGCCGCACACTTCAATTCGCTATCGCCTAGGGTCACTCCTGCGTGCAACCAAGCGCGCGCACGAGCATTCCTCTCGCACCCCTGCTCGGGAGCAGGCACGCGAGAGCTGGAGGAGGAAGAGCCGGAAGAGCGAAGCAGCGCTGGCGCCGATCGCTTGGCGGGGTGTCAGTTTTCTAACTTGTTTGTTCTCTCCTTTGCTTGCTGCGAGTGTGAATCGTTGCTGCTTGCGCCCATCAGGAAGCTTAAGAAAAGCATCAGCTTGCATTGGCTCTGGATTTCGATCCAGAAAATGAAGAGTGGCTCGGACCCTGGGCGTGTTCTTGGAGATTATGCTTGCGAACAAATCGAATATCTGTACATGGGCGACTGTTTAAGACAGCGCTTCGAGTGAAGACCAGTTTCTTGGCTTTGAACTTTCTTAACTCTGAGCAGGGGTGTGTACTCAGTTTGCCCACTCGGCCCGTGCGCGCGCACGAGCGTTTCTCTCGCGCCGCCGCTCGGGTCGTCGTCGTCGTCGTGGTCGTCGTTCGTCGTCGTTCGTCGTCGTCGTCGTCGTTCGTCGTCGTTCGTCGTCGTTCGTCGTCGTCGTCGTTCGTCGTCGTCGTCGTCTTCGTCGTCGTCGTTGTCGTTCGTCGTCGTTCGTCGTCGTTCGCCGCCGTCGTCGTTCGTCGTTCGTCGTCGTCGTCTTCGTCGTCTTCGTCGTCGGGGGACGGCGGCGAGCCGCCGCAGGAGGGCGCGGCCGAGGACCTGGGTGGCCTCATGGTCTTCGTGTCTGGGGCGCGCGCCGTGTCGTGCCGCCGCCGCGCCCTCGTCGTCGTCGTCGTCGTCGTCGTTGTCCTTGTCGTCGTCCTTGTCGTCTTCGTCATCGTCGTCCTTGTTGTCGTCGTCTTCGTCGTCGTCGTCTTCGTCCTCGTCCTCGTCCTCGTCGTCATCATCGTCCTCGTCGTCGTCGTGCCAATGCCGCGCCCCCTCTCTGAAGCAGGGCTGGAGCTAAACGGGGTTATGGCGACGTCCGGGGCCGCTTTCGTTTCTGCTTCGCTTCGCAGCGGAAGGCGAGACGAAGACGGAGCGAGGGACAGCGAGAACGAGACGAAAACGAGAAGCACCGCTCAGCTCGAGCCTTGCCCCGTTCCCCGAGGCGCGCCCGCCGCCCGCTCGCGAGGCGCACCCGCCGCTGCCGCCGCCGTGGCCGCAGGTGGTGGGACGACGCCCGGCCCCCGTGCGCTCGTCCCTCGCACTGGAGGAGGGCAGCCCTCATCCTCTGCCACTCCAGATCCCGCAAAGGGGGGGTGTGCCCCTGGGGGGGGGGACGTACACATGGTTCATCTCTAAGTATTCGAGGGGTCTTTGATTTTTTGGGGGCCAAGACCCTTTCATGCCTAATTCTTCTATCCTGGGCCTCTTCCTGGCCACTAGGGGCCAGGAACAATTAGAAACGAGCACAATTAGAAATGAGCAACGGTTAGAAATGAACGACGTGTACGTCGAAGACAGAAAAACGGCATATACATAAGTTTTGGCGCTCCGCTTGGATGTCTTGGATCTGCGCTGGGCCCCACTGGCGGCGCCTCCGGCGCCTCCCCAGGCGCTCTCCGCGCGCCAGGGAGGGGGTCCAGCGCAGATCCAAGAAGTCCGCGCGGAGCGCCAAAAGTTTATCTTAAATTTCTCCTCAGGGGGCACAGTTGCGGCGACACGCCTGCCGTGGTCTGGCACCGTTGCCTTCCCATCGTGCGACCAGCGCGTGGATGCCGACAGGTTGCGGCAGGTTGCAGTGGAGGTGTCCCTCCTCTCCCGCCCCCCCCCACTTCTCACATGTCTTTCCTCCCTCCA